CTAGAATTTGTTGATACTTTGCACCAATTAGCGGATATCTTTACAAAACCTTTAGACAAGGAAAGATTTTGGACACTTAGGAGAGAATTAGGTTTAACCAACCTATCTTCACTTAGTGTTTAAAATAATTTTAGCACTTTTAAGACTAAATGAAAAATGCTAATTTTTAATTGTATTCATTGCTATTAGTTAGGGGGAGTTTATGATTCTTGATGAAAAATTAATTTTATGTTCAAATATCGTTTAAAGAATAATTTGATTGTTTGAACATGATTAATTTTTGAAATATGAGTTGCCAATACCACTAGGATTAATTATTTTAGCACTATTGGATGTTTAAAATACATATTTTTTAAATATTTGGCAGAGGGAATCGATACCCCCATAAGGGAACCGATTCCCCCTTTAAATGGGAATCGATTCCCCTGTAGGGAAATCGATGCCCCCATGGGGTTCTGGTTTTAACACGGGCAGAACCCAATATTTGCTCAAACCCTCTCTTCTTTCTTAAATGTCGTTCATCCTCTCTTTCTCTCTAAATCTCCATTTTTGCCAAAATCATCAAATACAAGTCGGAATTAGATCTTTCTTCAATTTATAATCCTTGCAAACAACATCACATTATCATAAAATCCAAATTTTCAAGATAATATTTCAAAATCCTCTATTTCATTGATTTTTGAACTTAGGACTAGTTTTGATTAGTTCTAAGATGAACATTACATCGGGCATTGGTTATATGATGATTTTACAACCAATTTCGTCAAAAACACTCAATTTTTCAAAATTATCTTTTAATTTAAAAAAATAAAAAAATTATTGTTTTAATTGATTTTTTTGATAAAAAATATACGTATTATGATTTTCAAACATTATTTTCCAAATAGTTTTTCAAAACATTGCCCTTTAGTATTCGGTTTAGAGAAACTTGAAATATTGAGGACTCATTTGAGTTTTGGGTTTGATTATATTGCATACATGTGTTTAAATTTGCAGGTTACATATTTTATTCCGATTCTTAAATCATGTCAAATCCTAAACGACCTAGGACATTGTATAGTCGCTCAAGTCAAAACCGACCTCTTATTCCTCCACCCAATCCAAATAACCCAAATATGACCATTTTGAACTCTTGTTTCACGTACCTAGTCGTAGACAGATATATACCATATGTACCATCTTGTTTTTGAGTCATACAAAATCTGGAAGACGTATCCCTTCGATTCAAGCTATAGAAGATATGGACTTCCAATATTCCTACTCTTAAATCCTAGAAGTTTGATAAACTCTTTAAACTCAAACCTTTGGTTATCATCAATTAGTCCGCATTTTCTATTCCAATGTGGGTATGTCCAAAACGCTCCGATATGAAATTATAGGAATTCGATCCTATCTTTTAGGACAATTCATTTTTATTGACTCCGACACAATCGCTACCCATTTTGGACTAGATAACTCAGGTTTAATGAAAAAGAGACTGTGAATTCACCCTATAAGTCTAAGGATAGTGAGAGTATACTAAGAACTCATCGTGATAGATTCCTTCATTATTGGATCTCTTAGTGGTTTAGACCATCCGGAGGTAGGTACTCATCCATTAGGAACATAGATATATGGTGGTTATATTGTATCCAACATAAAAAAAAGATTAATTTGCCACAGATCATCTTTAGTGAGTTTCCATAAACATTGTTCCTTCCAAGAATATAGAAACCTTGGTTTACGGTTGTCTCCTTAGTAATTTGTTTATCAAACTCGATCTTTGGGTCAATGGGTTTTTGATGTTCATGGATTGTTTTATTTTGGATGTTTGAATTTGATGGATAATTAGATATTTGAACTTACATACTTATATATTTGGTTTGGTTTTAACTTTCATTTTGAGCTTAATGTTTTATTTTTGCATCATTTACATATTAGTTGCATTATGACCAATTTTTGTCATTTCACATTATTTATGAATATTGAATTATGGAGCTAATGGCTAACATTTCTCTTGATTGTGATCTTAGCAGCTTGAGCTATATATATTTATCATCAATTGGCTAAATGATTTCAAAACCTTGTTTTAAAAGTCTTTTTGATTTAACAAAAAGGGGGAGAAATATTAGAGTGTTTTAAAGTGGAGAAGTGTTAGAGTAAGGGGGAGTAATTTCAAAACTTGATTTCAAAATCTTAAAATTACTAAAATGTTTTGTTATATCAAAAAAGGGGAGATTGTTGAAAACATTTTGATATTTCGATATAACAGATTAAGTTAAATGAATTTTAAGATTCTCCAAAAAGATTTTCTAAGTATATTCGATATAATTATTCGAATATCAAAATATTACTCCAAATCTTTCAAATGTCATTTTTAATCCTTACTCAAGTGTAAAATTAAGTTTTAATCTTAAAATAATTTCAAAACGATTTTACAAAATATTTCGAACCATCTCAAAGCCAAAAATTCCAAATTGCTCAGAGGGAACCGATTCCCCCTGAATGGTTTGGCTCCAAGAATTCCAGTATGCTCGGAGGGAACCGATTCTCCCCCAGAGGGTACCGATTCCCCCCTTTTCAACGGTCAAAATATTTGAATTTTACACTTAGGGAACCGATTCCCCATGAGGGGTACCGATTCCCCCCACGCTCCAAGATGTTGTATTAATGATTTTCACACTTAAACGGCTCCATTGACTCCACTAATCATCTCCAACGTTCAGAATCAATTGAGGGAGTATTTAAATAAGTTCTGAAGCCTTTGATCAAGAAGAAGATAGAGAAACAAGAGAGAAAGCATCAAACACCAAGTTTGTGCAAATCAAGCCAATTTTCCTTTCAATATTCATTTTGCTTTCAAGAACACCATTTGTGCTCATTTGTAATTATTTTTTAGTGTTCTTTTCTTGTTCTAGAATTGTGCAAACATCTTACCTTGTGAGGTTTTCCTTGTAAGTTTGCAAATTTGTGTATTTCTCTTTGAAAAAGAGTGTGCTCAAGAATTTGGGGTATAATTCTTGAGGGAGTTGTAAGGTTACTCTTTGTCCTCAAAAGAAAAGAAAAAATTAGTGAATTTGTTGGAAAATCCTTAGTGTGAATAGCTAAGGTAGTGGACGTAGAATTTGGTTGAGAAAGTCGAACCACTCTAAATCGCTGTGCAATTACTTTCAATTTTCTGCATAAGCTTCCACCAAAATTTTAATTGCCAATTCACCCCCTCTTGGCCGATTCCGTCAATCGATTAACTCAACAATATTTATATATTTTCTTTAAAAAATTAAATTCATAAAATCTATATATATTTTTTAAAAAAATTGAATATATAAAAAGGTTTAATGAAAGGATAAAATTTTGTTTTAACTCATGAACTTCATCTAAAATTTTAATTATAGATTTTTTTCGTAAATCTAAAATAGTTTAAGGATAAATTTGTAATTTAACCTTCGTAGAATTTTTATTATTCAATAACAGAATAAGGATATTTTTAAAAGAAAAAAAAGGTTTAAGGACATTTTACTCCAAAATACCAATAATCCAACAATACATAAGGAAAGGAAGATAATAACATTCACGGTAATATACCCAAAAAATCCACTATTGGTAATTTAAGATTACCGGGAATGACATTATTGGTAATGTAAGATTACCGGGAATGACATTCCCGGCCAACCAAACGGGGGAATGTGAATTTCATTCCCATGAGAATCTCACATTTCCCCAATCAAACACACCCTTATTATTATCATTATCCTTATTCTTTTAATGTTTAATCCGATGACTAAGGGAGAGATCTGTGGTTTGGTCAGATTTTTTGAACCTTCATGACAATTTGATTCGGTTATTTTTTTCGTAATTTGACCATTTGGACTTTATTTTTGACAAAATGAGTGTTTCATGGTTTTTCGACATTATTTTGTAAATTCCGTAGTTTTTTTTTTTGTAAATATTTCTAAAATAGTTAAATGTAAATGCAATTGTACCCTTTGCAAAAGGATTCTCACGTGTTTCATGGGTTTTGGACACTATATTTTACCAAATGATCTTAGCAATGAAATTTTACCCTCTGCATATGGATTCCATGTGTAGGAATGAATCTCCCTATAATTAAATGATAACAAGTGTAGTTTACCTTAATTTTGTTTACCTAATCAGTTTTAATTTTAATAAACTAGTCTCCTCGTCAACTTCAATCTCGATGAGTAAATGTATAAGAATCAATGTGACACTTAATATTTTTTTTAAATAGTTTGAGTGAATATAATATAATATTTGTTCAAATACTTTCATAATTTGACAATATTTTTTTTTTAATATTGACACTTAATATTTAAATGATCATTCTCGTCACTAAACTAAAATTTTAAAAATTATGAAATGATCATTAGATATATTAAACTATTATAATATAATCACTAAAATATTTATTATAATTATAGATTTAAACGTTTTAATAATTATTTTATAATCATTCAATAAAATTAATAGCTATTATATGATTTTTAAAATTTCGATGATGAAACATAATTTGATGAGTCCGGATTACCTTGTGTTAAATCATTCCCATAGGGCCAAGCGAGTCTTTGAACCAATTAAAACCAATCTACATGTGATTCGTCTAACTTTAACCTATTAAAAAGTTTAATGGCTCAAGATGTTCAAATTTGGTGGACTGAATATTTTATGATAAATATTAGTCTTCCACTACAGTTAAAAAATTGAAAAGCATTCATGCCATGTGATTGCTTATATAATTCTATGTATCTTTGATGTAGTAACCCAGTCTACATGTGATACGTCTAACTAATTAACCTAATAAAAATTTAATGACTCACAATATTCAAATCTGGTGGACTGAATTATTTTATGATTAGTATTCTGTCTTGCACTATCAGTTAAAAAATTGAAAGCATTCATGCCATGTGATAACTTTTTTTTTAATAGATGCCATGTGATTGCTTATATCATTCTATATATTTTGAAGCAATTAACCCAATCTAATTATTGTTTAACAATCCAGAATGTTTTCTCTGTTTGGGTTTTACTTAATCCTCTTGTTGAGCCCAATATCAGAGGCAGCAGAAGCCATTTGTGGAGAAGAAGTATGTGGAAATGTTACTATTCCATACCCATTTGGAATCAAAAGAAACTGCTATCCTCATCCTTCGTTTAGAGTAAGTTGCCAGGAGAATAAGCCTTTCATTAACATAAATGGCATCAATCTGGAGCTACTCAGTTCGTTTTTCGAGAACACCGTTAACGTCAATTATCCAGTAACTTACGTTAACTGTGACCGTAAACTCGGCATCACCGGAGCCGACGTCGATCTAGCTGGCTCTCCGTTTTTCTTACCAGGTTATTACAACTATTTCGGCTCGGCGGGGTGCGGGAATTGGGCTACTATCTCTACTAACCGAGGGGATTCCGTCGTCGGTTGCATGCAACCGGTATGCGGCAGCGACGGCGGCGGCGGCTTCTATACCGAAATCGTTGGAACCTTTACTTCATATAGTGTAAGCACGAGGAACATGAATGGCAGCGAGAGGAGGAGCTGCGCAACTGCTTTCATGTATTGCAGTGCCTATTTCGATGCAGTTTACCCATTGCCCGTTGAAATCAACAGTGCAACCACGCATGTTCCTGCAACGCTTCAGTGGGATTCCACCTCCTGCGGTGATAATGGTCAGTCGCTCCCTATCACTTTAATTCCTTAATTTCTTTTCAATCTCTTTTCGGAGAGGCATCGGATCGGGTTAGATTTTAAATTAATTTTTTATTCTAAATTAATTTGTTATTCGAATTTAGAGCAATAAAATTATATTTGTAATCTTATCAAATTGGGCTGGGGACTAGAGAGAAGAATGGGAGAGATCTCGTCCTTATCAAACATTTTGAGTTCAGTTCGATAATATTGTAGAAAAGTACTTTTAATTAAAAAATTATTTTGATATTAAAAACAATGTCAAACAAATAAAAAATAAAAAAGTGAATTACAGTAGAAACAATGGTTTTAAATCAACCTCAAAATTTTGAATTTTTAGCGTTTTCATTTTCAATTTTTCGTTTAAAATCAAATTTATACTTTTACCTTTTTTAAGTCTCCTTTCAATTTTATATTTACATTTTATTTCAATAATTTAGTATTAACATCCTTAAAAAAATAATTTATTTTAATTACTTAAAAATAAATAAAATTCACAATGTATATATTAAAATATTAATAGTGAATTATTATATAATATATTTTTATTATATTTTTATTTGTATATTTTATATTTTTATTATAGTTTAAATTAATATAATTCATATATAATAATATTTTTTAAATTTATTTATAATATATTTTTTTATTTTTGAAATGCTAAATTGATAAATATATCATTTAAATTATGTTATTTGAAATTTTAAATGAGTAATTATGTTCAAAAGTACCGATCATATATTTTTTCTTAATATAATATTTCATATATAGAAATATTATTAATGAGTTATCTCAATTTTTTTATATATTTTTATTATAGTTTAAGTTGATATATACTATATACTATATTATTATTAAGTATAAATATAATTTAAATAATATATTTTCAATTTATAACATAATGTTTATAATGAACATTTTATATTTTTAAACTTATTTTTTAACAACAAACTCAAATAGTTAAATTTTAAATTATACTTTTGAAAAACACCTTTAAATGTTCGTTTCTACATCATTTTAATCATTTTAAAGGTTACTTTTCAAAAATAATGTCAAGCAGGTAGTTTTTATTTCTCTTAATATTTGATTTTAATTTCGACTCTAAAGATAAGAAAAATCCACTTGATCGTTACAATTATGTCATGTTCAAAGGTTGGAACAACACCTAATAAACTTTTTTCATACAAAACCTTATGAAATACTATATATGACCTATTTGATGCATCACTTGATTCGAACGAAGTCTCATAAGCAAGAACTTATATTATATCTTCTCCGCACTTATTTTATAAATAATTTTTCTTACAATTTATTTGATGTATTTCAACTTATTTAAGTGTTTAAAGTAATTGTTTTTATTTTAATTTATCGAAATGTTTAAAGGAATCGTTGTTATTTATAAAGATCGTGAGTTTGAGCACGAGCGATTGTAAGGATGATTAAATATTTTTTGTCAAATGATTGAAAATACTTAAAACATATACTATTTTATAATTATATGATTAAAATGATCTATCAAAATCAAATTTATTGTTAAATAATTATATCTATTAAGTCTATTAGTTTATGTGCGGCAACTACGACACTAGGTTTAACACTACTACTGATAATAAAATATCTCAATTAAGAAAACACGAGAAAGGAGACTCTACTATTTTTTCTTCTTCTACTGCTTCTACTTATCGGATCTTAAAAATAGGCCTTTTCGTTGTAAGCATGCAGGTTGCGAAGTAGGCAGACCTGATATCATCAACGAAAACTCTTGTGGGGATGTTAATTTTGAATACCCATTTGGTGTAAGAAGCCGAAAGCATTCGAAAAGCAGGTTCGAAGTGATGTGCAACGAAACTGCCGATGGGGAGCATACGCCTTTCATAAACATAAACGGCATCGATCAGCAAATACTCGAATTCTCATTTTTTCACGGTACCGTTGTGGTGAACCATTCAATAACTTATTTCAACTGCCGCCGAAACAATAACAATGGGATGAGTCTCAACCTGAAAGGCACACCCTTTTACTACTCAGATATTCACACCATATTCTGGTCGCCAGGCTGCGGAAATTTGGTTACCGTTTTCGACGAAACAAAACGAAATCATATCGGTGGATGTTCGCAACCGAGTTGTAGGATCCGGAAGGAGACTTCCTCCACTACTGGCTGCCGTGTTGTTATTCCTCGAGGTCTCAATTCATTCTTTGCAAACATGACTGATGCGGTTAATTCTAGTGACCTTAGAAGCAAAAGATCTTGTGGATTTGCTTCTCCTGTTTATTCAGATTTGTACTATAATTTGACCGAATCGTCCGAAGATATCGATACGAGTGATTGGACCTATGTTTCTACATCACTGCAATGGGGCACTCCGAAACGCGGATCGTGCCGTGTGAATCAAGGCTCAGACACTTCTTGTAGCTCCGATGGTCAATATTGCTGGAACAGTTTGAACTCTACTCATCTATGTGTATGTGCCGTGGAGAGGGTTAACGGTCAGGAGACGTTTTGCGAAGGTACACAACTTAACACGTTTTCGATTACTGTTAATAAATGATTTGAGATAACGTGCATCACTTTTTTTTAATTCCTCTCGCAAATGACAGGGAAGGAATGTGGGGAGCATAGATGGTGTTACATTCTTTGCTTGAACACTCCTGACAACTATTGCTTGTCACCAAAACCGTCGAATCGAACAACTCGAAACTTTAAAATCATTATAATTGGTATGTGTTGAAATCACTCACCTTTTTCTTTTTACAAGTAGCAGCATTTCGGTTGTTTAGGTTAATTCAGTTCATGTGGTGATCACATTCTATATATCAATGCCTGAGGCCCTGATGTAGTAACAATTTTTTTTAGTAAAAGTCTTGTTTATAACTTATGTTTTAGTATATAAGTTAGCAGTAAACTTTCATTTCATAATTTTTAATAACTCAGTTTGAATAAAGAGAAGGAATAAATACAGTTTATTTGATTTAAAACTCGTGTGGTAATTAAACTTTTTTGTGTGTTAATACTCGTAACTAAACATAGCATAAATTTTTAAAACGTCACTATCAAAACAATGCCATGGTGCAATAGCGTTCCCTTAGGGATGGCAACTGGGTATATCTGGACGAGTTTTTGACCGAACTAAACATGACTTGACACTATACCAACAAAACCCAACCATGTATCCCTATCCTTGACATCATAACAACAATATCCGATCTCGACCCGAGCTTAGCTACATGTTTTTATCAGCTTTAAACCTGACCCGATTTGACATTATTAACTTGATGGAAGTGTGTTTTCCGTGTCTGTATAGGTTGCACCACTAGCGTGGGGTCAATAGCTTTGCTGATTGCAACATGGCAAATGCACAAATTCTGGAAAAAAAAGGCAAGACGTGAAGCTGAAACAGAAGTACTTCAAACGAAATGGAGGTCTGTTACTACAACAACACTTGTCTGGGTAATGTGGAAAAAATAAAGCTGTTTAGTTCAAAGGAAATGGAAAAGGCAACGGATTACTACAACAAGAATCGAATCCTCGGTCAAGGTGGCCAAGGAACAGTTTACAAAGGAATGCTAACGGATGGAAGCATTGTGGCCGTTAAGAAATCTAAAATGCTGGATGGGAGGAGCAGTAAGTTCGACGAAAACAAGGTTGAACAGTTCATTAACGAGGTTATGATTTTGTCTCAAATCAACCATAGAAATGTTGTTAAGCTCTTAGGCTGTTGCTTAGAGGCTGAAGTTCCTTTGCTAGTCTACGAGTTCAACGGCACACTTTACGATCTCATCCACTACCAAACTGAAGAATTTCCTTTGACATGGGACATGCGCTTACGGATCGCGATCGAAATCGCCAATGCTTTGTTCTACCTGCATTCGGCCGCTTCCGTCTCTATTTATCATCGAGACATCAAATCTAGCAACATACTCCTGGACGATAAATATCGGGCCAAAGTGTCGGATTTCGGAACCTCGAGATCGATTGCGCTCGAACAAACTCATTTGACCACCCGAGTGCAAGGGACATTCGGATACATGGATCCCGAGTATTTCCGGTCGAGTCAGTTTACGGAGAAGAGTGACGTTTATAGCTTCGGGGTTGTTCTTGTCGAACTCTTAACGGGACAAAAGCCAGTAATCTCGGATCAATCAGACGAGGTGAGAAGCTTGATATCTCACTTTCTGATGTCGATGCAGGAGAATTCGTTGCATGACATCGTCGATTCGACTATAGTAAATGACAGTCCAGAGAAAGAGATTATAGCAATGGCTAAGTTAGCAAGAAGATGCTTGAATCTTAACGGGAAAAAAAGGCCGACCATGAAACAAGTAGCAATGGAGCTGGAGTTGATCAAATCATCAAAAGCAGGTAATGAGATTGAAGAAAGTGGTGATGAAGAATCTGAAGCAGATGACATAATCGAATCTTGGAATGCCAATCTTTCTTGGTTCACGTCTATATCAATTACAACTGATAGTACAACTTTGCCATTAAATGCAACCTTCTAGCTTCCAACGCTTTTGTATACTTGACTATCGGATAGTTAGAAAATTATGTTCGGGTTAGATTACTTCGGTTCGAATCATTTTTTGTTTAAATTATATTTGGTTAGATTTTATTCAAGTTAGATTAGACCTAGTTTAGGTTTAGTTTGTGTCTATGGTAAGTTGAGTTGGGTATCGAGTAGAGTAAATATCACATCAAATAATTTTTGGATCCGATTATTATCGGATCAATCATTTTTTGAGTCAGATCAATATCATATCAATCTATTTTAAGTCGGATAAATATTAAATCGGTCATATTCATATCAAAACGGTCAGTTTTTAAGTCGAGTCAATATCAGATAAGTCAATTTTCAATTCTAGTAAACCTTTGTATCTTCGGGTAATTTCAGGTTGAGTTTGGTATGAACCTAATCGAGTACATAAAATATAACACCCTCAAATCGATATTGGTGGTCTGATCGATTCTTAGGTGTCACATTAGGGTCGCCGAAGCGACTCACATTAAAATTTTGAGAAAAATAAATTTATCTAACCATTTAAAACCATAAAACAATTTCTATACTAAAATGTAAGTTCATATAATTATTTCGATCATCAAAATCGAATTCAGATGTACAAATTATAAAAACGAGTTTCAGAGTCCTATATAAAAACACTACGTGGCTTATATGTCCCATAATTACATGTGTTGTACCCCGTAAGCAAAGCCGAAAAACTTTCATTACTGATGTCGAAATTTAAGCCATGGTCAGTTTTTTTTAACTTGAAATGATAAATAACAGAATGAGATTTAGGAAAACTCAGCAATACGAAATTATCAGATCATGTTATTGGTCACACTCAGGTATGTGACAAAGTATAAATTATTTTCGTGACAATCTAGATACCCACAGGTTTTATTTATAATTTGAAATTTCATTAATTGATCTTCTAAATAAGGATTGAAAAACTTACAGACTAGAAGAATCATAAAGATAGACAGATTAAGGAGATAGAATAGAAAAGTCTAGTGTGTCCCATCAAGTATAGAGAAAAATGTATAGATAGTTTCAAAATTTATTTCAATAAAAAATTAAAAAAATACATTAAGGTTAGTTTAAAAATCATGTAACTACCCTCCATATGAACACTAAAATGTGTAGGTTCTCCTGAACCATACACAACAAGTACACCCAATAAGGACTTTCTGTATTGTAATAAGGATTTATCATGTGCACAAAGTAAAGGAGTATGATGTAAGGACTTACAAGTCATAGACTAAACTTGAAATACTTCCTCCAACAATAACCCTCATATGACTATAATAAAATAAAAGTGTTTAAAAGTAATTAGTGATTTAATTTATTAAATCAGAAAAATACTTGGTAGTTTAAAAACATGTTCGCAGATCATGTAAATAACGGTAACAAGAGATCGTCTCATCAAAATGAATATAAGAGAATTCAGAGTATATCATATAAGTATATCAAAATGGTAATGTACACATCAGGAACACACTATAAGATACAATTTTTTTTTCAGAGGTGTGTCTGTGAATTGTAACTACTAAATATGGTCACGAAAATATGTGCTAGTATATACAATCGAACAAGTAATACAATGATGAGTGAGTATCGTATCCACAGGGATTGGAGGAAATTTATAAGCTTAATCACACCAATTTACTATTTCACCTAAGAATGTTGTATACAAATAAGAATGTTATGGCAAGATAAAATGGATGTTGGTGTAATGAAACATGGTAGCAAATGGAAATATCGTGGTAAAATGGATGGAAATATCGTGGCAAATTAAATTGTGTTTAGTGCAATCAAATGAAAATGTAAAGGCAAAACAAAATGTAAATATTGGATTTGATTATAAGGACTTTAGACTCCTCACACAATAAGCTACTATGGGAATGAATGATAGGAGTCACTTAGGAAACTTAAGTTTGCTTCTCATGATGATCTTACTTCTATGCCTTATCTGCATGACAGAGTTTACTGATTGTATCCTATGATATCTCTAGTTATGGGACTCAACAGGTTCAAGATGCCATGGCAAAACCTATTGGTGTTATCTAGTGTAGGGATCATATTGGTTCAAATAACAGGATATGTCACGGCAATACCTTTTAGTAGCAGCACTAATATCTAACCTCTCGACTGATCACTACTCCTTTTAGTCGATTAAAATCCTCGCCTTATGTCTAAGGTTGGATTAGGCCTAGTAACTACCTAGAGCCCCTTGCTTATGTGGATCCGCCCTAGTTTCTCTCGAACACTAAGGGCATGCTACTTAGTCATTCTCTCAAACATTAAGAAATCTCCTAAGGAATGTCTACTCTCATAGCTCCTACAACCTTAAGGAATTAATCATCATAAACAAAACAAATAATAGCATACAAAAATAATCATCCATTAAAGTAAAACTTAAATATCCATAAGGAACTCCTACCAAATAAGACTAGTTCATGGTGGGGTTCGAATATTCCAAGCAACAAGGCATAAAATTAATCAGTTCTATACAACCCAAATAAGATAAAAGAGAACAAACAACAAAGGGTATGAGGAAAAACCTTCGACGTGCACTGCCAGAGTTCTCCTCGGCCACCACAAACTATCTCAGCTCGCTAGCTCCTCTCAGACGCCTAGCTCGCCACTCCCTCTAGCTTGTTAATAGAGGAATGTCACGGCAAAGACGATTGATGGAAAAAGGATAAACCTTTTTCTCTATGAAATTAAGCTCAAGCCGGCGTATGTAAAGTCTTTTTCTTTTGATAGCTTCATCTCTTATTTATAAGGGGAGAATAAACATATTAATTTGTGTTAAAATTCCTAGAATACCCCGATCAGGATCCTTTCACGTGAGCGGGTGATCAGCTGTGGCAGTGATCCCCTCCAAGGCAGCTGGGCGTAGTCCCCTCCTGGCAGCCTACAGCTGGGCATGGTCCCAACAGAATCAGACGACCCAGGCGGTAGATGTCTCTTCCTAGGTGACTGGCGGTTGAGGCCACGTGAATACAAGGATAACTGGCTCATAAAAATATAATCTTTCATATTTTTCG